TGGAGTCACTCAGAACCTCTAGGAGCAGAACCTTCTGGATGGAGTCACTCAGAACCTCTAGGAGCAGAACCTTCTGGATGGAGTCACTCAGAACCTCTAGGAGCAGAACCTTCTGGATGGAGTCAGTGTTCAGGGAGTTTCAGGATGAATAAATGTGGTGTGAAAAGAACGTTTTGGATCCAGTCAGAACAGAACCTGACCCAGAGGTCTGGGTCCAAACACCCGCCGCAGCTTCACTAACCAGCAGCAGGTCCAAATCCTGTTTGGATCAGAACCAGGACTACTAAATGGGTTCTGGATATGTTCCAGCTCCAACATGTCCAACCTGGAGGGCTACAGCATTTCCTGTCTCTGCAGAACCCGATCAGACATTTAGGAGACATCGGACCAGAACTGGACAGAACCGGTTTACACAGAATCTCAGATGCAACCGGAGCGAAGACAGTAAGGAGTCGGGAGGCAGGTCCAGGTCTGACCAGCAGACATGGAGCAAATGTTCATCCAAGCCCAACAGCAGCTTCAGAGATCCAACATCTGCCATGGATCCTTCCATGGGGGGTCCGACCCGCTGCTGGAGGCTCGGCAGGAACCAGAACCTCCTAAAGGTTCACTGAGGAATGCTGCAGGTTTTCTGTCATAAATCCTGACCTCAGGGTTTGGAGTCTCTGGAACCAGAGCAGCTCTGCTGGTTTGTGCTGAAGCTGAAAATCTTTTCTGCTCGTCTTCCTCCTGGATCAGAACATCTGCTGCTGAATCAACATGTGAAGAGTTGGACCGCAGCGCTGCCAGATTCTGGAAGAAGGAAACTGTCAACAGCCTGGAAGTAAAGCAGAAGCATCGACGTTAGACAAACCCGGCCTTTAATTAGGCCACATCTAACCAGCTCTTTAATAAACATCCAGCGGCTCTAAAACTGAACCGAGTCCAGACCGGATCCAGTGAGGACGGTCAGGGAAAGCACTGAGGTCTGCAGCGACCTGGGATTACCATAGCAACTGCCCATGACAACCATTACATGCCGTCTACATGCTGACTGGCTGAACTGAGCTGTACTAAACTTCCCAGAGAAAAAACTGGACACCGGATCAGGGATCCCAGTGGTGAAAATTTGATCATCAGATTTTGGTTTCATGAGAAAAAGTTCAATAAAATGTTTCAAACTTGATAAAAATGGTGTTGAAATGTCTTTTCTATGACACACTTTCTGCTGCATATCAGACATGAAGAAAACAAAATGGAGAATAGTCCGTTTAACCTGGAGATAAATGTTCCTGAATGTTTATGGAATAACCTCAAATCAACTGAAACAGATTTTCTGAACCTTTAAATTTGATCTTTGATGCGACTCGCTTTTGTCTTTTGCTCCATTAAATCATAAAAATGTTTCCACATCGTCTCAGATTTATGATAAAACATCCGGAGCTTCAGCCTCCATGTTGCTCTGCTGACCTGAAACTAATCCAGCCGCCTGCAGGGGGCGCTGTGGAAACAAACCCAGTCAGTACGCAGGCAGCGCTGCAGTCAGGATTTATTGTTTCAGAAAAACCGCATAGAAATCCAGAGCCACGGTCCTACATTCAGTAGGGCAGAAAAAGGAACCAGAAAAATGTAAACACAACCGGAAGTTTCCGTTACCATAGAAACAGAGACAGGACATCAACATAATCCATGCAGCGACGAGGAACCCTAAGAACCACTTGGATTAATTTATACCATCATCTTCACCCTCAACAAGACAGCAACGTTTCAGTCTGAGGAAGGAGATTAGATCAGAAGACTCAGATTAAAACACGATATAATCCAGACTAATATAATGGAACCCAGATTAAAACATACAACTCAGATTGAAATATGTTAAATTAGAAAACAGATAAAATAAAGAAGAAACTAATTAAAATCAAGAAATTATTAGATCATTTCTAGATTAAATGAAGGTTAATCTGGAAATTAATCGAGAGGAAATGCAGATTAAATTATGAAGGAGTTTAGATTAAATCAGAAATTGAGAATAAATCAGGGGAATCTCAGATTAAGGTTAATAACAGATTAAATCATGTTAATAAATAGAAAGGAGCCAAATATTAAATTCAATTAAATTAGGAAACTCCTTCCAGTCCTAGTCTGGGTTAATCTGATTGAGGCCAGCAGGAGGCGCTGCAGCTGATGGAAGAGATGAAAATTCAAATCAGCAAACAGAAAAAAAAATATAATAATTCAGTGGCGGCTGGTGATATATATATATATATATATATATATACCCTAAACACCAGAGCAATAGAGGCTCAGATCTACCACACCAGACAAGACCCAAGGTGTAGGTTGTGCGAGGAGGCCTCTGAGACTGTCCAGCACATAACAGCAGGGTGCAAGATGCTGGCAGGGAAAGCGTACATGGAACAACATGACCAAGTGGCAGGCATAGTGTACAGGAACATCTGTGCAGAATATGGACTGGAAGCCCCGAGGTCAAAGTGGGGGACACCCCCAAAGGTGGTGGAGAATGACCGAGCTAAGATCCTGTGGGACTTCCAGATCCAGACAGACAAGATGGTAATGGAGAACCAACCGGACATTGTGGTGGTGGATAAAGAACAGAGGAAAGCCGTTGTGGTGGATGTAGCAATACCAAGTGACCACAACATCAGGAAAAAGGAGAAACTGGAGAAATACCAGGGCCTCAGAGATTAACTGGAAAAGACCTGGAAGGTGAAGACCACAGTGGTGCCTGTGGTCATCGGGGCCCTCAGGGCCCTCGGGGCCCTCGGGGCAGTCACCCCCAAACTGGAGCAGTGGCTCAAACAGATCCCAGGAACAACATCATCTCAGTCCAGAAATGTGCAGTTCTAGGCACAGCCAAGATACTGGAGGAGAACCTGAAGCTCCCAGGCCTCTGGGAGAGAGAGAGAGAGAGACCACCCACGGAGGGTGAGAGGGGAATTATTATATATATATATTCCAATAAGAGAAGCATCAAACTTGAAAAATACGAAACCCTGCTATTTGTGAGAGACACCGAATTTATTAATTCATTTATTTTACTGTCCAATTAGTTTTGTTTCTTAAAATAAGTTCATTCTTCATTGTAGGTTGCTCATTCCGTCATAAGTTGGTTTTGTGTCTGTCTCCCGCCTTGATCCTTCGTACTGATATTTCCTACATGTCATTGAATCCTCTGCAGTTGTCCAGATTAATTCCACAATATTCCTGGACACAATCACACTGATAAAATCAAACAAGATACAACATGTTTTTAAATGAGGTCTGCCTTATTTAAAGAGAAACTCACTCTTTTCTGGGACGCAGAAAGGCTAAATAATCCGCCTCCTTCATGCTAATATTGCTGCCCATCGTCCCTTCTCGGTTTACGCTAAACCACGCCCACACAAGACGGAGGCAAGTCCGTTCTGATTGGTTGAATCCTGTGGCCGCGGCTGAGGGGGCGTGGCTAGACGCCTGTCAATCACTCTGAGCCTGACAGTTAGCTGAGTGGGGCTGTTGGCCCTCCGGAGAGACCCGGGATTTTCCCAGGCGGTTTGACACCAGGTTTGTTGAAAATTTAACAAAATTAAATGTATTTAATTTTACGTAGTCCTAAAATGTCAGGGTGTAGCTCATTTATACCAGCCGTCCCTGATTTTTTTGTTTCTCTGATGAATTTTTATCTTCTAAAAATGTCAATTATTTCGGTCCAAAAATAAAAATCAATTAAAAAATTAACCAATAGTTAAATAATATATTTCTACTGTCAAAGTAAAGTCGTCACAGTTCTGATCCGTTTGATGATTCTGGATCACAGAACGAAAACTAACATTAACCGACTCGGAAAGTACCAGAGATGACAGCAGCTATGAACCAGAACCAGAACCAGAACCAGGTTGCAGGAGGTTCCCTCAGCCTCATCAGACCCTCATCAGACCCTCATCAGAACCTCATCAGACCCTCATCAGACCCTCATCAGACCCTCATCAGAACCTCATCAGACCCTCATCAGAACCTCAGGCCGGTCTCCATGCTACGCTGCATTGATGCAGTAATTTTGAGACAGAACCCAATATTTCTGGCTAAAATCGGATTTAATAATCTGACGTTGGGTTTCCATGTGAACCACCAGAACCATCAGAACCTTCAGAACTACAGGAAATAACATCGACATGTTTGGCTCTGTGATGGATCGTTGAGCTGAACTTTGATGCCCGTTCCCCGGCTGTTCCCGTCATCCTGATGGAGCCAAACGATTCCGATCCACCGGATTGTTTTTCTGTCTGGATTCCAGGGAACAGCTGACCTTTGACACCATCCTGAAAAAAATATCATCTGGACCAAACAAGAACCACGGAACCCTGAAGAGCCAGCTGGACTATCAGTAACCTGGATTATAAGTAACCTGGATTATAAGTAATCTGGACTATCAATAATCTCTAGTTGCTAACTTTTACTCAGTTTTCACCGAGTTTTTCACAACTCTGGAAGCTCCTGGAACTGGACCGGTACCGGACCGTCAGACAGTGGGAGGAGCCTCTCCTCCATAAAGGGGCGGAGCCTCAAGGACCACATGACGGTGGTCCATCACCGGGGCAAAGGTCAAAGGTCGCCGACCTCCATTGACTGTGTCTAACGCTGCTGTGGGACTTTAGAGGCTCCGAAATGCAAGACTTCACAAATGATACGACCAATAATCAATAATCAGTAATAATAATAATGGCTTCATGCAGAGAGTGAAGCGTCGATCCAAGACGGGGCGGATCGCCCAGATCCTGTAAACATGCTGCAGTCTCTGAGGCGATCAGCGACCGAAACGTTTCCAGATGATCAGAGACGGAGGTGCGCCGACCTCAGGCGCCGTCACGCCGACCGCACAGTGGCGGCGTTAGTTGTGGCTGGAGCTCCGCGGCAGCTCATTGGTCAGGATGTGCCAGCGCTCCACCCGCTGACCTTTGTTCTTCAGGCAGTCCATCCAGTGGCGAAGGGCGTCGCCCTGAGAGCGGCAGCTCAGGAACACGCCACCTGGACACAGGAAGGACAGGAAGTTCCTTCTGGAGACTGAATACCTGCAGACAGCGAGGCTACGCTTTGTGCTGCATGGTCGTTCATGCATGTGATCCACTGGGATCCACTGGGATCCCTGCCCATCTCACCAATGAAGTCATTGGACCGTCCCAGGTCATGGTCCCACACCGTCACCTCCAGAGTCTTCTTGGCCAACTCCGACAGCGAGACGTCGTAGGAAAACTCCTGCAGCGAACAGAAACAAAGAGATCAGGAAACATTAGAGACTTTTATTCTGAAGAGATGTGTCAATGTCGATATTGATCGATGTTGCTCTCTCCAGATTGCCGTTTTTATTTCTGAATATGTTGCTGCACAAGTTAAGTTGTTGCTAGGCAACCAAAGAGTGAGTGAGTTGATGCTACCAGCTAGCTTAGCTAGCTTTGAGAGGTTGAGCAGCTGAAGCCTCTCCTTTGCCTACATCTCCCAGAATGCTTTGCTGTACTGGATGGAGATCAGTTCCTGAATATTCCGTCAGACATAGTTACTGATATTGATCACATTTAGATATATATTGTTATTGATATCTCGTCTGGCCCCAGGCAGCAGCAGCAGAGACTTTTATTGTGAAGAGATCAGGGAACAGAGTGAGCAGGAAGCTGTGCAGGAACCAGCAGCAGCTCATCAACTCAAAGTGTGTGTGTGTGTGTGTGTGTGTGTGTGTGTGTGTGTGTGTGTGTGTGTGTGTGCTCACCTGGTTGAACTCTGGGTTCAGGGTCTTCTTCATCACGGCGGTTTTGTGTTTGGATTTCTTCTGGATGTCGGGCTTCAGGTATCTGACAGAGAAAATCGTCTTTTATTTTGAAAGGATGAAGGTTTTTGTCGTTAACCAAATGAACGGAGTGACCAGAGGTTCACATCAACAGTCCTCAACAGTTTGGGGACCACCGACCCGGTTCTGGTTCCAGTCCAGCTGAACCAGAACCTGGGTTCTCCACTCGTCTCCTGGGCTCAGTCGGGTCAGGTTGGAGCTCTGAGCAGGAGGTTCTGCAGGGAAATGGGTCGGTTCTGATTTTCATCTAGAACCAGACATCTGAAAAAAGGTAGACAGAAAACTACCAGAACCAGAACCGGGTCTGTCTGTCCTGAGAAGCCTCCATCATCTCCATCCTTAGGGGGCGCTGTTCGTAAAGTAACACTGTAAAATATTTACTTTGGATCTTTGTCATTTATAAATGTAGGATTAACTTTTAAAAGTTTAGAAATGAACCACGTTTATTCTGTCAGGCTGAATAAACCAAATTAATGCTGTTCATTTTTTACAGTGTGCAGACATAGACATCAATCCGTAGTAGACGCCTCACTGAGCGCTGAGTCCTACGTAACAGCGTCCGCCATCTTGTATGTGGCAGCAGAGGATCGGAGCTCCTTCAGTCCTGTTCTGTGTGTTTCAACCATTTTACGAAGCAAACTGGATTCACTGGCATCACCTTCCACAGGTAAGGATGAAAGATCAGATTTACTTTGCAGCCAGAAATTCGCTTCTAAACAACCGGAAAATATTTCCTATGTAGCTAAATTGGCCTGAAATAACCGCTGATTGTTAGCATAGCGGCTAACGTTTTCATACTGTTTTCTAATGAGAGAGAGCTGATGAAAAACCGCTGTTAGAGGAGAAGTTCATTAAAAACTAGAGGATTTTGTGAGGAAAGATCAGTCAGGATCAGAGCTGGAGCTGCTGTTCTTCAGTCTGTTTCCAGCTCAGCTTCTCCATGTCGGGATTTAGCTATAAAGATGCTACGAGTCAGAGCCCAACATGCTGAAAATGGCTTTTACACTTTTGGATAATTTCTCTTTTATCCTTGGCTTCAGCCTGTGAACCAGGACGTCTCAGAAGTCATTGAGTTCTCCCAGTGAGACCAGCAGACTGAAGCCTGTGGCCAGTGTTCCCAGTTTAATAAATAAATGTTTTATTCTTTCACTTTTTGTGTATTTTTAAATATCTCAATCTGAAGTATTACTGTATTAATACAGCTTATGTAATGAAATAAAAATAATTTACTCTGTAAGAATTATTTTCACTCTTTGCTGTCAATAGCAGAGTTGACATACTGTAATAAATATTTTTTCTCTGGAAATAAGAAAAATATGTAGTTTAATGTTTGACAATGACTGATTTATAAATCAAAAGTTATTTCTCAATAATGTATAAAAATAAATACAAGAAAATCATTTGTTTCTTGTCTTGAAATGTTAAATGTACATTAAATTATGGAATTATGTAAATATGTTCTTTAATTAAACACTGTAAAAGTGTCTGTTCATCAATGTCATTATAAAAATGATCAGAATAATTTCTATCAAATAAAACATTGTGCTCTTTATTCAGAAATGCACCGAAACAATTAAATAATCACATCAAAAGTTAGAAACTCTCTTTAGTTATTTCTCTGCCAAAAATATTAATGTGTGAGAAAATGTGTCAATGACAGGAAATAATTTAAATACTTTGTAGAACGGCACTTTGTGAAGTTCGGTCCATTTACCTGTATTAGCTTACTGGCACATATTCCACATTCAATATGGCGGACGCTGTGACGTATTGCAGCAACGGGCCGACCCGCTCCATGAGGCGTCTACGTATTTATGTCTATGGGAGGGTCGACTGCTCCAAGATGGCCGCCGTATTTCCTGCGCCGGAGCAGCCAATGCGGGGTCTACTCATATATGTCTATGGCTCCATGGGCCACTGTCCAGGTGTTCGGGTTCAATTCTCTTACCTGTTTGACGTTTGGCTAAAATGGCTGAAATGGAGCAACTCCGCCACCTGCTAGTGGGAACCGCTCCCTGCACGGGGCTGTAAGATGATGTCCAGAAATGTTTTTGGTTTTTATTCTGCTCTAGAAACTTCCAGGTCGATCTGTTTCCAGGTCAGAATCAAATCCAGCTTGTCTTCAACTGACTTCTGGTCCAGAACCAGAACCAGCCAGAGGAGGTGGTTCTCCTCCTCTTCCTCTTCCTCCTCCTGTTCTTCTTAAAAAACTAAAACTACTAAACCCTTCATTCCCAGATGATCTCTGAAAAAATTCCATCATAAATTCCATTCATCCCTTATATCTAATTTACTTTTATTCCTATCTAATTTTCTAATTAAGACCTCTCTTTCATGAACATACCTATTATATCCTAAAGAATATATGTTGTACTATTTCTAATTTTCACAGTAATTACAACAACCTGTATTATGTTTATTAATTATAGTACTATTTAATAATACCTATACCAGTGTTGTAGTCAAGACCAACTAACCCGAGACCAAGTCAAGACCAAGACCAGCACCTCACACTACATGACACGAAAAAATGTGAAATACGATCAAAATTGCTCTCAAATTGATCTGAAAGATTCACATTCCCATAAAAAGGGTTAGATATTAAATACTTAGAGCTGAAATAAATTTAACCAATATCTCTGTGCTACAAACCGTGGTGGTCTCCTGCCATCCCTAACAAGATAACGCCCGGGACATTTGCCCATATCATTCATGTCAGAAACCACCCCTGTCTCCATCATTAAACAGCGATTGAGGCAATGCACTAGCCGTAAACAATACTCAACTATGAACATTAACCAAGGAGCAACAAGCAAGAAGTAACCAAGCACAAGGCGCTCACCATGACTGTTCTCACCCTCTCTCCCACTACATGAAGCCAGGTGACAAAAACTATCAAAGAGCAATGCGCATGCTCTGCGTGCTTTCGTTCTTGTGTTTTATTTTCTATATCAATGTATATAATTAAATAAAAATAATAATAGCTACTGCAGTGAACGCAGAGCATTAAAAAAACAAAGGGCTCTCAGTGAGGCTCCAGTCCGATCTTCTTAGTAAAGATCCGTTCAGAAGAATCGGACTGTTCATGAATGTCACATCACTATATTGCAGACTTTTGGACACAGTGTTGTTCCATATTTGCAGCATATTAATCAACACCTCTGCACAATAATTCAGTGCAAAGAGTGACAACTTATCTTTCATGACAAATGCTTATGTGTCTCTATACAGCTAGCTTTGCTAACATCATGTCAACGGAGCTTATCTTTCTTTGAGCTACTTTTCTAAGTGATGAAAAAAGTAAGACGTCCCCACCGTCTGTGAAAGCGAAGCGCTGCTGACTGATTTCTTATGATTTATGCAGCGCTATTATATTACTGACGATTAGACCGACATCTTCTGCCGCTCAGAGGAAACCACTGCGCATGTCTCAGAGCCG